GGCTCCAACTCTGTAGCCAGATTCCCAGTTTGGCTGAAACCGCAGGTGTGCGCCTGGAAAATTTGCGTGTGCGGACAGCTAAACTGCTACCGCGCTTAGTTAAAGCCCGTTTCGGGCGCATATAAATGAGAGATGTTTAACTAAGAGACACACACAGGCTCTGCATAAAGTGAACACAAATTATGGGAAAACAAAAGGAGAAAAAATCTGGAAAAAGTGGGCATGCAATGGCGGCAATAAGAGCGTGGGCCCAGATGAATCGCTGATTTGGACCTAGTTAGGTGTTGGGCCAACAAATGATGGAGGTCGGGCAACCTGGCAGAGCATATGCTTTATTAAGGTACCCCCTAATTGAATTAATGAAACTGTCGTAATTTTCCCAGACTGGTAAAAGGGGAAAAACAAAGGAAAAGCTTTACAATTTCGAGGAATCCGTCATATAATATTGTTTGAACATAAATATATATTTAAAGTAAGATACATTGCCTATATAAATTAAGAAGGTGTTTAGAATATTCCCCAATTTATTTTTGTTTTAATCAACTTTATAAATCTCTAATTTGATTTTTTCTTAAAAGGATCCACAATTCAAGGCCGGAAAATAAGATAACAACACTCACATTTCCATTGGCCAAATCCGAAATCTTAACTACCAGAGAGAGGACCTTACATAATACAATTATATAATATAGCAATAAATTCGTGTGCAGTCGTATATAAATTAAAACGGTGCAAAACAAAAGGGTTACGCTCCGGCCTTTTGTGGCCCAAGAAAAATTGGTAATGGCATTGGGACAAAGGATGGGGAATGGATTTGGGAATGGGAATGGGATTTGGCCGAGGGCGCCACATAAGCCACAGTCCTGGCTGCATAACTCAAGGCGTCTGTGACATTTTTATGGCATCAAATATATATTTTATTCGCCGGTTGCCCAAAAACCAAAGGGGTAGTTTAGGGGGTCTACTAAACACAAGTTTAAATTTAACACATAAAGATAATAGAGTTTTCAAAAATCAATAAAGTAATAGTTTTAAAATTACATCCGCCTTTTAAGTCCCCAATTTGATTTCCCTACGCCACTGACAGTAATACATACATACATACATTATTTTCCGACGCTTTTGGGCATTTTACATTCCGTTTGGGCCCATTCCTCTTGGCCAAATCCCCGGCACCCCTTAACCTCAATGCAATTAAAACAAAGAGAGAAAAGGGGCACATTAATCCTTTTTACACAATATCCTGTACGTATGACCACCAAATGGATGGCGGGGGTGTACGACTTGAATGGGGAAACTGCGGAAAATGGGGGTTACACGGGGCGGCCATTTTCTTTTGCCAGCTGCCATTTTTATGGTCGTTTTGTGTGCCTTTTTTTATTGTCTGCTCTTCTGTTTTTTTTCTGTGTTTTTTTTTTTGTTGCTGTTTGGCATTAAAAATGTTTTATGTTGTGTGCGATTTGAGCAACCTACTTTGCACATGCTCAGGGGCGTGGGAGGGTTGAGGGGGTTGGGGGGTGCCCAGAGATCTCATCGGTGGCGCTTTATTTGGTTATATATTCTATATGCACGCTTAACAAGGATGTGCGCTCGTTTGTTTGCCTAGAAAGGCTTAATTTGTACAGGACTTTTCCACACACACACACATGCGCGCTTTTAACGACTCCCAAATCGCATTTGTGTGCGTGTGACTTTTGTCTTGACTTTAACTGTTTTTATGGCGCATTGCGACTTTTTATGGCCTTGTCTTCTGATACCCTGCCAAAAATAGGTACTTCGCTAACAACAATAATTTGGTACTTTACAAATGCATTAGAAAAAAAACTTTGTATAATAGGTTGATTATAGGTCTAATGAAATTTAAAAATAAAATTTCGAATTATTTTGTTAGGCTTTACTTCGAAATTGTTTTAGCATTTGCCTTAACTATTAAATTGGAGCATAGCCATGACATTTAAAATTATTTTCTTTGTGAATAATTAGAATTAGAAGAAACTACATTTCTGTAACTTTTGCCTTTCAAGGTTTTGGCTTTAAAAATGTATAATTTAAGAACTTATCCTTCTTGTATGTAACAAACATTTAGTATTTAAATATCATTTATGTATACAAAATCTGGAAAGAAATTCAAGTATAAAGGGATTATTTGTAGTCAAAAGTAAGTGCATTCACCATTCTCTGCAGGAACAACAATTAAAGTTCCCTTATTTTAGCTTTGCCTATTCTAATGTGGGGCGCCCCCTGCTAGGGCCACGCCCCCTAAGGGAACCCCCAGCCGTGGACGGAAAAAATAGCACACGAAAAGCATAAAGGATAATAATAAAACGGAGCCCTATCGCTGATGCCGATGCTGCTTTGCTTTGGCTCCTGATGATGGCGATGTTGAATGCCGCTCGCTGTTATAATAAAACAAATGGCAGCCCCATTTAATTGCTGGCCATAAATGTGCTTGGTCCTTCGTACACGACATGGTGTATCCTTTTCGAGGATGCCACCAAAGAAAGCTAATGTTGTGTGTGTGTGTGTGTGGTGCGTGTATTACTTTTTATTATTATTAGTATTTAAATTTATTTGTTACTTTATGGCGTGCACGCTGATAAATCTGAGCAAGCTCGTTGGCCTTTTTAATGGCCGCCCATAAAAGGTAAGCCCAAAAGAGCGGTCCAAATTATACAATCAAAGCAAGTTAAAAGTCCATTTAGTATCGCCGATATGACATAATTGAGTGGTCGCTATCTCTAAACCACCAAGCGAAAAACGCAGAAGAATATCCCAACAAATCCCAGCATATGCAGCAGCCATTTGAGGCGATGTCCTGTGGCTTTTGTTTTCATTCGACAATGCAATTAATGCAATTGCACAATTGTTTTCGGGGCACTTACAGCCGAAGTTCTCGCCAAGGGGAAAAGTTTGTGCAGTCACAATTGGCACATTTGGTTTTATTACCCAATTGAGCAGCTAATTTGTGGGGAGTTCAACCCGGCAAAACAAGTCAATTTGTGGTGAACGAGTATCTCTGCAATACTCAACCCTCATTCGCATCCTCATCCTCATCCACATTCACATCCAATAACCAACTAATGGGAAGGACGAGGACTGGGGACTGTCGTGGCTCATTAATGCTGTCTGCAGCATTTGTTATGATATTTTTATTATTTTTTGCCCTGCCGTGATTTCAATTTGATTTGTGCGATGATTAATTCATGCTGGGCATAGGCCACACCTACCATCCTACCATTCCGATTCCCATTCCGATTCCCATTCTCATTCCCCAATCTCTGCGATGATAAATGAACCTTATTCCCCCGATCTCCCTGTGTTTGTGTTTGTGTTTGTGTTGATGCTTATCCGCGACATTCCTGCCGCCCAAAGTGTCACTGTTGTCGATCATTTTTATGTTGTGTGCCTTCGCAATTTGATTGACAAGCCGGAGTTCGGAGTCCCGGGTTCATTTTACATGCAGCGATCATCTCGGGGCTCCCTTGTTTTACTTGTCTGCCTTTTATGATCGCTCGTTTTATGGGGCTCGTCGGGACGGGAGAGTTTACCATAAAATGCCCATTAATCATTTAATAGAGTCGCGTAATGAACTCGCAGTTCATTCTGGTCCGGGCAATCTGCCAAAAAAAAACTGTAGCTGAAACTGAAACTTTACCTTACTTCGCGTTTTTATTTCTCGATTTTCGACTGGCCTGGCTTTGGCACCTAATCCTGGCGCACAACTATGCCGTTTGCATTGTTCCACGCACAATGGACACAAAGGACATGTTTGCACTGATTATCAGATTAGGCCATTGTACGAACAAATTGATATTGTCATGTTTCAAGTGCCAGTTCCCTGGGCCAGTACACCTCCTCCTCCTCCTCCTCTTCGCCAGCCAGAGGCAGTGCAGAACTCATTGAATGCTGTCGCCAGTGCCGATTAAGAGATTGTTATTTTCGCACTCGCCGCACTGCCAACGAACCGGGGCCAAAAACAATGGCCCAGTCGGTCGGCCAGATTTGCAATATTTAGGCTCGGCTTCCTCTTGTTTCTGGTTTCGGTTTTTGACGAAACAATCGCCGGACAATGAGCCATGAGTGGTTTTAGCGCTGCGGTCCTCCTCGTTTTGGTCTAGTTTCTGGGCCAGAACCGATCATTAGCATAAAGCCACAGCGGCGACGGCAATTCCCATTCCCATTCGCATGTCTGTGCTGGGCGTTGGCCGAAAAAAACGAGACGAGACGGGGAAGGATTAGCCCGAAGCCGAAAATGTGCACATCATCCTGGCCGGAGATCCTTTGCCGTTGATCTCCGTATCGGACAAGTGATCGCTATCGCAATCTTGCCCCGGAAAATCACTCAAGGTCCAGATATCAGATTTCGGTGGAAATCATTTGGCAGGATTTCCCTATCAAGGCAGCTGAATCGATCGAAGGACATTTTGAGTGGGCGAGAAGTGTTGGAGGCTATTCTCTGTGATCCCCGGCCAGCCGAATTGTCTGCCAATGCAGATCTATACTGCGAGATATGCTGATCTTTTGGCACTTTCAATAGGGGGGTTACTAGAATCTCGGCTTTATGGTATAAAGAGATTTTAACACTTGGCCATCTTGATAAAAGACACTATTTTCGCTTAAATATATATATTTTCTATTGAAGCACATACAAAGAAAATATTTCTTAAAATTCACTGTCCCTTAATAATCAACAAAATTTAGATTGATATGGTTAGATTTGTATTTATATTAAAATAACATTCTTCAAGAGCACAATTATTGTAAATAGAACAATCATCATTTTAATGAATAAGAAAATATCTAACACATGCATAACTTCTTTTGCAACAAAAACCAAAAACCTAATATAATTTTTTGCAATTTTGTCTTTCCTCTATGATTTAAAAAGTTCGTTTAAGCCTTAACATGCAGTTACTTTTTTTCTTGTAAGGACTTACCCAATACAAGTTTTAATGATTTAAACTTGCAATATTGCAAATTGTTAATAAGCACGTCCTTCATTAATTAATCTTATTTTCAATGAGGCATACTATTTCAAGTACACAGACAATGTCTTCATCCTTTCTGAAGGTTATAATGGTCTTAAACTGACCTCGGGGCATTACGAGCGGCCAGTCGTCCGAATTGATAATGATGTCCTTGAAGAAGTAGTGTCCTTTCAGCAGGGGACATGTGTCATTGCCGAAGGGGCCATTCGTGTTCTCCCCAAACTTCACACTCGCTGCGAAGTACCTCCAGTAGGACTCGATTGCCTCGCAAACGGGTTGCCGGGGCAGCGAAAAGGGCAGCAACTTGTACTCGCCACTGCCACTGGAGTCGATATATGTTTGGAACTCCTCGGAGAAGTGCTCGCCGCCCACGTCTTCCGTCAAGGTGAGGGTTCCATTGAGCCTGCGGTCGCGTCCTAAAATCCGGAACTGGTAGTCCATCACCGATGAACCAGTTGCCTTAAAGGACACGAAGCCCACATCGTACGAATGCCTCAAGGACATCTGAAATATGAAGAGCATATGATGTCCATTGAAATTTACACGGATTTCTTACGTAAACGTCGGCAAAACAAAAAATTAGAAAAATATATAACTTTAAATTTAGCATGTTTGTATTGTACTAACTTACTAACTGCGAGCTGCAAGCTCTATTTATAATGCATTCTGTTGAGTGACCCTGTCGTTAAATAGGAGTACATGTAAAGCTTATCAAAAAAACCGTGTTTCAAAAATCCCGGTTTAGTTATATACACTTATAATCATTAACACTAATTTAGTCGTATCTGAATTTGTTAACCACTGGCTACCACTTGTTTTGTATTATTATACCCTTGCAGAGGGTATTATAATTTTGGTCAAAAGTGTGCAACGCAGTGAAGGAGACATCTCCGACCATATAAAGTATATATATTCTTGATCAGGATCACCTCCTGAGTTGATATAAGCATGTCCGTCTGTCCGTCTGTCCGTCTGTCCGTCTGTCTGTCCGTCTGTCTGTTTCTACGCGAACTAGTCTCTCAGTTTTAAAGATATCTAATTGAAACTTTGCACACACCCTTCTTTCCTTTGCACGCAGTATATAAGTCGGAACGGCCGGGATCGGCCGACTATATCCTATAGCTGCCATATAACTGAACGATCGGAAATGCCATAACTTTGGTGTTTTTAAAGTTAGGAAGTTGGGATTTTCTATGGGTTTTACATTTGGCCAATCAATTTGACGTACCAAATTTTATAAGGATCGGCCGACTATATCCTATAGCTGCCATATAACTGAACGATCGGAAATGCCACAACTTCGGTGTTTGTAAAGTTAGGAAGTTGGGATTTTCTATGTGTTTTGTATTTGGCCAATCAATTTGACGTACCAAATTTTATAAGGATCGGCCGACTATATCCTATAGCTGCCATATAACTGATTGATCGGAAATGCCATAACTTTGGTGTTTGTAAAGTTAGGAAGTTGGTATTTTCTATGGGTTTTATTTTTGGCCAATCAATCCGACCTACCAAACTTCATAAGGATCGACCGACTATATCCTATAGCTGCCATATAACTGAACGATTGGAAATGCCATAACTTTGGTGTTTTTAAAGTTACGAAGTTGGGATTTTTTATGAGTATTAAGAATGCATCATATGAATAATTTTGGAAAATATAATTTACAGAGTATTCTGCAAGGGTATATCAACTTCGGCTCCGCCCGAAGTTAGCTTTCCTTTCTTGTTTTTATAAAATAATAAACCATTATATTCTGTGAAATATTAGAAAGTATACAATTTCTAGTTTTGGATCAATCCTTATTTGTTTAAATGAACAGCCGAACAAGCCCAAATACTCTCGGCACTGCAAATAATAATCATTTATTCTTCATATTCATTCATTCATATAAATGGTCATTTATTTTAAAGCAGTTTGTTCTCTTTAATATAATTATATATCTTTCACAGTTTAAAGTTCCTACACACATATTCTTTAACAGAACCGTCTACTAAAAGAAACAATGTTAACTTTCGATATGTAGATTTTATTATATCTGAAGATATTGATTGTGGTTATTATCTGCTAATTAAAAAATCATTTTATTTATCTTTTTTTTACTCTTTATTTATTATTGTTAAGTCAACCAAAATTTCAAAAGGAATGAAAACTTTGTCGCTATCTTGTTTGCTTACTTAGAATAAAGAAGCTGTAATATAACTTCAAGTTAATCAAAATGATTAATTTTTTTTAGCTAAGGAAGGTCTGTAATGCGAACAACAATTTCAAGAGCTGCGACCAATTCGTCATTCTTGAAAAGCTTGGCCACGGCCTTGAAATATCCTCGCGGCATTATGGACGGCCAATTGTCAGTTTTGGCGAGCACATCCTTGAAATAGTAGATCCCCTTCGGCACGGGACACGGGTTGGTGTCGATTGGAAAGTCGGTGTTGACTCCACGCTTCAGGCTGGCCTCAAAGAAAATTTTATTTGATTCCAAAGCCTGGCAGATCGGTTGTTTGGGAATCGTGAAGGGAAGCTGCTTGTACTCTCCACTGCCAGTAGAATCAAGGAAACTCTCGCCGGAAACGGAAAAGTTTTTATCGTCCAAATCCAGCTTCAATTCCAAAGTTCCATTCGCCATGCGTTCTCGACCCAAAAATCGAATTTTGCTGAAATCAGCATACTCGGTGCCATTTGAGTTAAACGATATGAAACTTGCTTCATAGGTTTTTGGAAAGATCATCTAAAAATTATTTGACATTTAAAACAATATTTCAATTTAATACTTGCTTTAAGCTACTTACGTAGGCCTCGCCTATTAACATAAGTAAAATATAAAAACGAGTCCCCATAACTGTTTAACACCAGTGGTAATATAATTTGAACTACATAAGCCTTAAGTTTTTCCGGATATTTATAGCACCAAAGCGGACCTTGAAAACAACATTGTACCCTTTATCTGTATTATATAATACTAGTTTAATTAAATAGTGGAATACCATGCACAATATTTTACTTGTACCTTGCTTGTTTGTAAGTAATTAATGTGATGAAAACATGATTCCAAATGATAAGTAACTAACCAGGCTTACAAGTTTTTAAATTGCAGGTTTCATTATATTTAGTCTTTATCTGTCATACAACTAAGTGACATTAGATATATCGACATTATTATTATTTTTTTACATATTCCGAACCCTTTGCTTTTTAATTTTTTCTAAGCAGTTTATTTTAAAAGTCGAAAGGCCTTCTGCAATCAAGATTTTCACATATTCAAGACTGTTAAGTATACTTAACATTTATTAGTGGATCTAGATTAAAATTTAGGTTTCCTGTCAAAGGAACAATATTTTTTTATTGTATTTTTATAGCTTATCCCTTTGAATTTGAACTGCTTGCGCCACTCAAAATCCACAGCTCGAGGATCGGATCGGTGTAGTCGGTTCACGATCGCTACATGATATCACTCCAGCCAATTCCGATCCCAGCCAAAAGTGCCTTTCACAGCCCTTTGTTCGGGAGATGAGCTCCTAGGCGCCGGGTCATAACTCTTAGCGGCTGTTGCAGCTATTTGTTGGCCTCGTACGGTACTACAAGTATATGCTACACGGGCAATAAAAATATTGGCCTGCCTTCGCCGGCAGGACAAAGGAATTGCACCATAAAATGCATGCACAATTTCCACACACAGCAGCCGATGGGCAGAATCGTTCGTTGGAAAACAAAGCCCTCCAGATCCCCGTTCCCTTTGTCTTCCCAGGTGAAAACCCTTCGAAACTAGTGCAACACTTTTGGCTTATAGACGAAGCCAGTCGGCGAGGAGGAAGGGGAAGCTGGCCAAGACCGGGTCCATTGTCTTCGCAGAAGTCGTTAGTGTGACAGGTTGGATTTGTTTTGTGTACGGTGCCTAAGTCTGTCATCATCATCAGCATAAGACTTGTCTGGCGCCAGCATTAGGGACAATATTTTCGACTAAATATTTCGTCACAGGCTCAGGTAAATTCCGAGGGTTAAAACCAGAACCAGGACGAGATGTAGAGGGTCGGAGGTAAACGAGGGCGTAGGCCAGGGAAAATCGGACATCTCTGCGGGCGCCTATTTTGGTCGATTTATATATTTGGCCTGCTGCAGTTGCATTGATGATTTATGCGTCGGATTTACAGGTGCACATGTACACAGGTAGACTGCCAACCAAAAATTATATTATATTATTAAATGGCACTCCAATAGGCGCATTCCCTATTTGCACTGACATAATTTATAAATAATAGTTTTCTTACTACATTTATTGGTTTGTTCAAAAAAAAAAAAATGTACGCTAAATTTAATATAATTTATTTGCTATATATATTAAACAAAAAAGAAAGCAAACTTCGGCCAAAATATTTGAGGTACCAATTGATTGTACAGAAACTTTTTAATAAAATAGACTGCTTAACTGAATTTAATATTCCCCTAAATAGCATAAAATAATAATATTATTTTCGAATTCAATGAAATAACTTAATTGCAGCCATTTAACTTCAAATATAATTTAAAATCGTATCACATCGAATATTCAGGATTTTCAGTTTGCGTTGTTATTTGTTTTAACTTTTTGTAAATAAAAAGTACTCTTTTAACAACCAATTAAAGTTGTTATTTGGCTTTGAGGGAGATTTTAAATAATTTTAGCCAAAGTTAGCTTATTGTGATCTTAACTTTATTGATTCCTCCTCCTCCACAACTTCAATCCACATCCTCCAAAATCGTGCAAATGGAATAGGTGCCGACGTGTACGCCGTCATAATAAAACAATCCTTGGCCTAGCATATAGCCGCGCTGCAACATGAGTGGAAAGTTATCCGAGTTCAGGTGAATGTTTTTTAGATAGTAAGTGCCCTTCGGAACAGGACAGACATCCATATGCATAGGAAAATTGGTTTGCTTTCCGTATTCGGCATGTTTCGAGAAATACTTTCGGTAGTTTTTGAACGCCTTGCATATGGGTGTCAATGGAATGTTGAAGGCCATCCGCTTGAAGTTGTTATTTTCGGTGGGATTGAAATATAGCTCTCCCGCGAAACTCCAGTGGCTATCATCCATATCCTCTTTCAGTTCAACTGTTCCGTTCACCAACCGTTCACGTCCGATCAAACGCAATGTGGTTGTATCAAATACCCCAGTTTCATTCGACTGATTGAAGGACACAATGGAAACCGTGTACGGCTTGTAGTTAAAACACTAAGAAAACGATTTTGTGAGCTTAGAATTGATCCCTGTTGTCGTATCCAGTTTATTACTTACTAATCCCACGGCGAACACTAAAAAAAGAAGGCACAAACTAAGCTTGAACATTTTGAATTAACAAACTAACCTAGCCATGAAAAACAGATCGTTTTTATAGGAAAGATCAAATCGATTTATATAATACAAACAACGTTTGCAAGCTTGTTGGCTATCATGTTAATAAATGGACCTTATCCCTTTATTGTATAATATTTGATTGAATCGTTTTACAAGTGTAAACTTTTTCACAATATGGTTAATTACTCCCTTATCCCTTAAGCACGAAATCGGAATGCTATAAACGAATGCTAAAATGATTCTGACTGTTTAGCTTGCAATAATTTTAGGTACTTTGTAGTGCCTTTTTTTCGTGTGGTGGCATGTGCACCCGATCGAAGCTGCAACATATTGGCACACTTGAACTGAACGCCGAACCCGGGCACGTGCTCCTTGGCCCACTTGAACCTCGAGTCCTGAGTCCTGAGTCCTGAATCCCGCTCCTGTTTCAGTTTGCGATTCTTATTCTGTTACTTTCCTGAGTGGAAACTCCTGCTCAGCAAAGTTCGCCTGAAACAATCGGGGGTTTTTTAATGCCAACGAAGTCGCACGCTCTCTATTGGAATTTTCACAATGAGCACACTTGAGATACTTTCCTTTCTCCTCCTTTTTGTTGGTCGAGACATACAGAGTAGGGGTCGCGGGTGGTGGGCTGTGAACTTTGTGGGCTGGCGAACAATGGTTCAAGTGCTGCTTGCAAAACAAAAAGCGTTTTAAGTTTTAATTACGGCAGACACAAAAGGCCGCAGGAAGGAACAAAAGCAGCCACGACACATGGTGGTCCTTTTGGAGTGGAGGTGTGGCTAAGGATATTCCACTGACTTGGGACCTTATTGATGCCGTATCGCAGCAACATTGCGGCCACAATCCGTCGGAAACTTTCCTACCTCGCACCTTGCATAAGCCGTATCGGCTGCCAAATCTCAAACCATTTCTCAACCCGGTCCGAATCAATTTTAAGCCCCTCACAGCCCCTCCCCTCGCTATCCATCCCCTCGAGTGTGCCATCAGCAACTATCTATCGAATACAGGCAGCCATAGCTTGTCAGTGATTAGATTTCCAAACGCACTCTCAACAATGCCACCAGAAGCAACAAAGAAAATTATAAGAAACACTTCAATTTTAATGGTGTTTAAATCGAATTATTTTTACCCTGGCTTTTGGAGATTTAATGTGTTGAAGCCTTGATCATTAAATTTGTTCTTAAAGGATTTTATCGTTAAAATTATACTTAAGAAAACATTTTTGGAAAAACTTATTTATTAAAACTTAACTTTGTCTAACTAAAAAAAACAACATTTATCATAACTAATTTCAACAATAAATATCTTCAAAAAGGATACATTTTGATTTAGTTGAAATACCTGAAAAGAATTCATCTAAATTTTTAGGAATATTGTTTCATTTATGATGATGATTTTTACATTAATCCCATACAAATATATTTTAATATCTGTAATGCCACCATAATATCCATTTACACAATTACCGCGGTTTTTATGGGCATTAAACGTTGATACTATCGATCTTAAATAATACCAGAACTACGCCCTCGTGAAACCCCCATCTAATCCGCTAAGTAAGGGGTATATAAAATTGCTCAATTGCTCAACTGATTAGACTTTGTTTTCAATTTGTCTTTCAGCCGTTCATTGACAGCCAGCGAAGAAGTTTTCCCCAACATGACAGACACGAAGAGAACGAGACAGCCAGCCACACGGTTTTTAATCAAAATTGTACAGGAAATCAAAAATCAGTTTTTCAAAAAATAAAAATCACAGTTTCTTATCGCGATGTGTGATTTGTGGCTGCCGTTTGTTGTTCTTCTCCTCAGTTTTTTTTTTTTTTTTAGATATTTTTCTTACCCCAATTGCTCGGCCCATGGCCCTTGGCATGTAATTTGAGGAAAGCAGCGCCGAAAGCAAACGCAGTAGCTATGAAATCAATTATGCGATAAAGATTTGACAGCGCAACGCACTGAGCTGCGCTGCTGGCACTCGATAATTAATTTTAACGCTTTATCGCAATTGGAGGTGCGTCTGCTGTGGGGAGGGGGAAGTGGGAGGGGGGTGGAGGTCTTTAAGGTGGGGATCCGAAAGATAGTTGCTGCCGATAGTCGTCCGATTTGATTGAAGTCTGTCTAAAGGCGTTTATCTTGGGGCCCCGCCTAATCTGTGACACAATTGGAAAAAGTTATGAGTGTGCCTATGAATTTATTATGGCCTTCTCTCATTCCCCCGAAAAATACGAAATACGAGTATATGCCGTGTGTTTTTATGCGTTTGTTCTGGAGTTCGAGAGATGCTTTCCCATGATATGCAAACGAACTCAATTATTTATTTTATCACAAATGATTTTGCTTATCAAATCTAGCAATCGCGTCATCTTTGTCTCTCTTCGCTGCCAGAAAACCACAATGACGAAGGGCAGAAGAAGCGGCGACCGCAGAGTTTTAGACCTTTCTCAGACCCCAGAGCCATCCACTCATTCTGGCCCTTCAGATTTTCTTACAATTGCTTGGGTTCTTCGGTCCTGATTGAGGCCGCCATTATTCAAGGAGCCAAACTCCTTGTCCCGCTCACTCCACTGCCACTGCCACTCGGTGGCATCTTTTTGGCGCTATCTTTGCGTTGAAATCTCCACAGTTCATGTCAAATTTCTTGTGTTTTTATATATCATTCGGCTGGTTGGGCTGCCTCGGCCGCTTTCCTTGTAAGTATGTAAATGTTGGCAGTTGGCAGACTGCAGCTGCATTTTGCATGCCCCTCCAGATTCGGATCCCGATGGCCCCGCTCCCCCTCCCCCTCCCCCTTCATTCCAGCTTTGAGTGATTGTCAGGGGTTTATCTTTTGATGGGGACTGGCTTCTGTTGCCAGAGATACAGTACATGTATCTGTATCTGCGACGGAGGCTTGTTAATTAAGTTTCAATCAGGTTTCGTCTGGGCGTTGCTCGAAAGTCAATTTTTAGCACCTATTGACATGCAAAGGACCCGCATGCCACACACATACGCTCAAAGGCAACGCAGTAGACTTCAGACACAGATACACACAGTGATGGTTAGGTACCAATTTATAACTTTGTATTGGGTCAAAAATAATATATTATAATCATACAAGTATTAATCCATAGTATTAAGCTAGGAAGTATAATAAGAATGTTTGATAAATTAAGGTACAATTTCACTACACTTAACTTGCTTGTCCTGGAGTAACTTGTTGGGAATTATAAGGCATTAATGCACTATGTTTCAAATGAATGAATGTATATATTACTTGAACCAAGCACGTATACTTCCAACTTGGGAATACAACCTACTTAGAACCTACATAAGTGTACTGTAAGGTACTGCAAAATAAGAAATGAGTTTGGGTACAACAGTCTGAATGCTTCCCTTCACCAGACACAGATACAAATATAGACTGCAATTTGGATTTGTGCCCCAGGAAAGCAAATCAATCAATTCAACACGCAAAGTTGTTGCCGATAATTTCTCTATTTTGACTCGACCGAAGTCGAGGACGAGGATGAGGGCAAGGACGAGGACGAGGGGCAATAAATAATAACTCAATACAAATCCCAATTACAGGAGGACGATTGCCACCCGCCTCGAAGGAATCGAGGAGCCAGGACCAAGGTAACACAGACCAACCCTCTGGGCCCGGCCAAAGCAAATCCTGGCCGCCTTCGATTGTCCTTTTTGCCACCCGTACACGTACGTACATCCATCTGTGTGTGTTCCCTTCATTTGATTCGATCAGCGGGGTTTCGCCTCCATCAACCACAAAAACAACCAAGGCCAAGGACTGCCGGCGTCGCCGGAGGGTTTCCCCTCAGTCGATTTCGGGCTTATCCTGCAACCGGCACATAAATCGTCGTGCTGCTTCTGCTTCTCCTTTATTTAAATTTTCATTTAATTTGTTATTTGTTTACATGAAATACACCGATGTGCGACGACAGCGACGGAGGCGACATATGACAACATTCTCAGCCGCTCACAATTGCCATTGTCTGCGTCTGATTTGGATGGGGGCAGGGGCAGCGAGGGAGTGAGGGGGTGAGACTCGGGTCAGGACCCTGGTGTGGTCATCTATTGTGACCACACACCTGGACGGTGAGTGGTGTGGAGTGGAGTGGACTGGAGGACGGGTCAGCCGTTGTCTGTTGGCCACTGTTTGGCAACAGTCCCTAATTGCTGCTTTCAAACGGCGACTCCCTTGTGGGGGAAGCTATAGAAATTTTGGTTTGGCAAATTAATTCTTTAGAGACCAAAACAAAAAAAAAACATTACATTGGTTTATCCAGAAATTAACTCTATTATGTGTGTTAATACTTAACAAAGTCAGAAGTCCCATTTGAAGGGATAAAACTAAAAAAAATTCTCTAAAGATCCATTTAACATCTATATAAACTAAATTAAATGTACTTTCTAAATCATTAAATTCTTTAACATTTTTTACCATTGTTTACCATAAATCAAAATGAATAGGCTAAATTCCATTTATTATATCAACAATTAAATTCATATTAATAAAAATAATTAAACTGAAGCAAATGTTTTATAAACATTAATATACAATTTTTTGAACTTCAAAAAATATAACTCAAAAATGTCTTATAAGGTCAGCCACATTTTTAATCCATTTGCGATCCAATTAAATCTTAAATCTGTATAACTATTAATTTATTATAACACATTTGTTTTTGGTATTTTTAAAAATTTTATACTTTTAACAAACATAACATTAAATAGAATAATATAATATTTTGAGGTTTATCTTTATTTGTTTGGTGAAAGCCATATATCGCCATCAATATATTTTCTTTCTTTTCAAAGCCCTCTTTTAAGGAAGACAATGATTTTAGGCATTAAGCATTCTCTCAGCTCCAGAGACCAACAAACTATTTATGCAAATCACCTCAGAAACCCCATTTTGTGGGCCCCACCCCGAAGCATTTAACGCAGTTTAAGCTCACTGAGGCAAACTAGTTCAGTTCAACCGAGGGCAGA